AGAGAGAAAGAGAGAGAGAGAGAAAGAGATACCACCCACACAGAGGAGTCCTGATTCCTTATTTAGACGAACACTGGGGGGATTCTTTAATTACCGAGCCAAATGTTTCTCTCAATCAAACGTGGTGATTTAAACCGCGCCACGTACTCAAGCCTGTTTTGCATTCGATCCCTTGGCAAAAATGTCTTATTTGAGAGCTACACAAAGTACCTGGAAGTTGACAAATACGGAACTAATCAGGCTTTTAATTGCCTTTGATTGCTATTGTTCAGGGGATCCTTACAAGGCTTGTTAAAGTGCAGTTTGGCTTTGTTTCCTGAAGCAGGAAATCCTGAGAAGTGGATGATTGTTGAGTTGACTCCCTGGAACACCATTAAATACCCACAGGATAAATGATTATTTTCACACATTGCACATATTCTTCATACCGTGAACATTCAGCTCATTTCAACCTCTTCATTTTAAATACTATGCATTTCTTTTCAGACATATTTTTTATTGTTGCTAACTTATAGTTACGATGATTCTTGACTTAAGTTCTCTGTTGATTTGGCTGTGAAAATAGAGCACTTTTCTAAACTGTAGAGAGAGATTCAATATGTTGACAGCATTTTTTACTTTTCTCTGAGAAACCTTTTTCCTGTCGTCCCTCTTTATATGTTTTCTCACCTTTGAGCTGGGAGCTGCTTTACAACTCAACGCTCACTTTTTGGGCCCTTTCACTTTCAACTAAAGCTTTAGTTCTAGTCTTTCACATCAGCGAGCTTAAGACAAGTGGACCAGGATCTTCTTGAAAATGCCTGTGCAGGTGCTTCAGAGTTGGCTGTACTGATTTTTTTCCGTGCACAAACAGTACACCTAATCATGAACAAAACCAAAACACATGCAGACACCTGACGTCCACTGAAGGCCGGCTGTGAAGGTTGTTGATCAAGTCTGGCAACGAGGAGTTAACGCCTCTATATTTGGTTTATGGGGGTTTGAGTGTATTGAAGACAACAGAGCTCAGCAACCTTGTGTTTGAGAGGCGCTCCCAATTCAGCAACAGCAGCACATGAGCCCCACCCAGTGTTGATAAGGACATCAGAGCCCCATAGACAGAGTGGGAAGTAAACCAGAAGAGTCAAACAGATTACTTTCAAGAGGTTAAAGCTGCACCAATCAATATATATTAATATTAATGGGTCAAATGATTTTGATGACCTCAGAGGGGTCACAAGTATTAACAAACCCACAGAAAATTATAATTTTGTCTCAGCTCTGCTGCTGGAAGTGCATATGAACAGTTGTTTGCTTACATTTCGGCCATAATGGGAAGTTAGTGTGGTCAACGATATATGAATACAACAGTAACTTCCCATATCATCTCATTGTACAATGAAACAAATGCTGACTTTTGCAAATGCAGTTTCAAAATGTTCATTCAAAAAAAGAATAGGCTGTTAACTGCCTATATTGCACTTACTTAGTCTCACATAAAAGATAACAGAAATTGTGCGAATGATTTTTGTAATCAACCGTTGTTTGATTTGTTCATCCAACCACCTGTGAAGTACTTTTGGAAAGTGCCTGCCCTTTTAAAACCAGTTTCCTTGGACTGGTAAGAAAAGATGTGAAGGAGAATTCATGAGTTAGGAAAAGACAACCGTGGGCTTCGGTCAAATAATCCTTTCTGCTTAGGAAGGTTCTAACCAAGTGAAATGACCCGGAAGTATTTAAGTGGCTGCCATAATTCTCTAAATGCTTCCTTTCTAAGCTCCTTCAGCATAGGGAACACTAGACCCTAACTTTACGAAAATAAAGTAGATAATTCCGTCCCACAATTCCTTGCAGCAGCAACATTTAAAGTGATGCAAAAATCATGTCCATGAAACCCACACAGGTTCAACTATACGCGTAATGGATTGTTGATGAATAGACAGCAATACTCAAGTGTCATATCATATTTACTGACATCACATGAACACTAAATACAGCAAACTGTCAATGAAACAATTCTCACTAAAAACAAGAACCGTCTGTAAAACAAAAGCTAGGCCTATGATACATTATTAAACTGTTAATATAACCGTTGAATCCACATTGCAAAGGAAATATTGATATTGCACACGAGTGAGTAGTTTCTACTGAAGCAGTGATGATTGATAAGTGTGAAAGCAGCAGGAAGGAGTGCCGTTTATCTCCCTCACACCACCAGTGAAGCAGCCTCTCACACAAGAAGCTGTTTTTAAAGCCTGCATGGAAGTTAGAGGTCATGCATTTAGTTGCGCTTGTTGTAGTCTCGCCATGCAGACCTACGTCAGTAACATCCACCGTCGCACCCTAATTACGTAGCTTAGTGAAAATGGAGTTGGATTCGCTAAACACCACAGTGGTCTTTTCCGAACGTTTCCCATAGAGGTCAAGGAGAAGTAGTTAGGAATAAACATTAGGTCATTTTTGGAGTTTGACCGCAGCCAGGGTCTTCACAAGCTAGCTGTACATTGTTGAGACCTAGTCTTGACGGATCGCTCACACTCGGCATGTCAAGACTGGTTTAGAGGAACCATTTTGCAGCATGTCTTTTGCACACTAGATGGCACCAAGCTGGGGATTAACTAGTGCCACACAGCAAAGAGGTGAAGTCCAGACACAAAAACAAGATATACATTTTATTTGAATAAAAAAAAAAAAAAAAAAAAAAACAATTATTCATCCAAGGACACCTGCTGCACCTATTTGAAGGAGGAAGATGCATTAGAAACCACGTTTATGCATATGGAACAGCAAGATATGATGAAGTACTCACCTGCTGTCCCTTAAATCGACTGATCCTGATCCATTTGGTCTCTGGATGAACACCCTGGACCTGTGGCTTGTAAAATGCAGAGGGCCGCTGGGGGGCCGCGCTGGCCGGCTGGTGAGCAGAGGGCTGCTGGGGGGCCGCGCTGGCCGGCTGCTGG